ATCTTTCCACTTCACAAAAATTTATAAACAAAGTTTAGTGTTGCCTTTTTGTTATATAATTTTTTGTTCTATTTTCAACATTCAATTTTGTTCTATTTTGTTCTATTTTTTTGTTCAAGATTATATAATTTCTTGTTCTATTTTCTTAGTTTTCTGTGTCTTCTAAATTCACCACAATGCATATGTACATTTTTTTTTTTTAACTAGAAAGTATAGGCTGGGTGCAGTAGCTGACACCTGCAATCTCCGTAGTTTGGGAGGCCAAGGCAGGAGGATCACTTGAGGCCAGGAGTTCTATGGCAGACTGGGCAACATAGGGAGACTCCATCTCTAAAATTTAAAATTAACCAGATGGCCAGATGTGGTGGCCCATGCCTGTAGTCTTAACTCTTCAGAAGGCTGAGGCAGGAGGATACATTGAGCTCAGGAGTTCAAAGCTGCAGTAAGCTATAATCATACCACTTCCTATCCACTGTGGGCAACAGTGTGAGACCCTGTCTGTGAAAAAAAAATATATATAAATAAAGTTTATTAAAAAGTAAAGCCATTCCATATCTTTCCTCTTATTTTCATCAAAATGAGTAAACAATTTACGACTATCTGTAGATATATTGACTTTGGGATTGGAAGCTTCTGTGAGGTTTCAACTGTGTGTCTAGGATCATTGTGTCGATGTGTCTATGATCATTGCCCAGAACACTAGCAAATGGAGGTAAAGATAACTTAAACATAACTTACATTCCTTCAGCTAAGGCTTTCTCTAGATTTATGAAATAAAAGGAGCATAAAGTATCCAGTCTGGCTGTTTTGCCTACTTTGAAAGTAGATGATGCTCCTCGTGGCCAAGTTAATACAGAATCTTCCACTGTGATATATTCGATGGGTAAAATGGATGAAGCAACTTTCAAATGTCTGTTCAATCCAAATGAAACAGGGTATATATTTTAAGACCTTTATGTTAAGGTTTGTCTAATTGGAGCTTCAAGGAACAGATACTGTAGTTCCTGTAATTTGTAAATCTGAAGGAAAATATTTGAATATTGTGGTTCCTTCTATTTGAGAATCTGAAGGAAAGAAAATGTAATCACAATTATGGTAAATACTGTTCTGGTTACTCTATGCAGTTTTTAAAAATGTTTGCTATAACCTTGTTAGAGAGGTATCATTTTTTATTTTAAAAATAGGATAATATAATAATAGATTATTTGAATAAGTCAAGTCATACTTCCAAGAACTGAAAAAAAAATGAAATTGACCATTTAAACATCATGGATTTTTTCTTTTTTTTCCTGAGGGAAAGACTAGGAAAATGATTGGTCTGATTATAATTGTCTATCTTTTTTGAAATGGGTAAACAGTCTACCTGATTGAGGGACATAAAAATAGCTCTTCATCTGTTTTCTTTTTCTTTTTTTTTTTTGAAATTTCCTTCATTATTCCATAAAGCAAGAGGATCAAGTTCTCTTAGAACTTATCTGAAACTCCTTCTGTTTTGGCAGAACTCAGTCACCTAGGGCATAAGAATCTAAAGAGGAAATTGTTTTCAAAATGTAGAAAAAAATGTCACTTTTCTTTTAAAACTATTTCTAGAAGATCTAGAAAATTGAATGAGTTTCTAAATATTTTTAAGAGAATAGGGAGAATAAGAAACTTCCCTTAGGCAGCAGTAGTCAATGTTCTGTCTTTAGGTTAACCAAAGGCATTGTAGTATATGGAAAGAGCAACTATATCAAAGTTAGAAGCTGGCTCAAAGTGAGTCTATTACTTTCCTAGTTTTACAATCTGTACATTTTATTATACTTTTAATTTTCAGTTCCAATATATGTAAGATAGAAACAATAATATATACTTAAAAGATGTATAACAAGATGCATGTGAAAACATCTTCATTCTGTATTAGATGCTCTATAAATGTTTTCCATAATAGAGAGGATAAACCCTTCTGTTCTATAAGATTGTGATTGAAAAGACTGTTGTCAGAGACTAAATTTAGTTTTAAACAAAGAGAGAGAAGTTGTTTATATGTCCAACGGACAGATACCTCATTTATATGTTGAACAAGCTGGCTCCACCAATCAGAATAACTGTATTATGCCACGGTAGCAATCCCCTCCACCAAATTTCAATGGCTTTTTCCAGCAAAGGTTTATTTATTGCACATGTTTTATGTATGTCATGACTCTGCTGGAGCATCTGCTCTATATCTCCTTGTGGGCTACTGGAGCAACCACTATTTTCAGTGTTGCTGGTGACCATGGCAATAGAAAAGACACAGTATAAAAAACTGGATGTTAAAATATGAAGCTGGAAATAATAGACACTGGGGACTCCAAAAGAGGGGAGGTTGAAAAGGGAATGAGGGTTAAAAAATTTCCTATTGTATGCAATGTGTTCCCTACTTGGATGATGACTGCATTGGATACCCAAACTTCACCATTATGCAATGTGTATCCATGTAACAAACAACAATCATGGACTCTCTGAATCTAAAATTTTTTAACAAGTTAAATATTTTGATTCTAAAGACACAAATCACTTTTGCTTACATTTCTTCAGCTAAAACATATTATGTAACCACATACAGCCTTTATGGGGCATAGAAATTCAATTCTACATTCAGAAAGCAGGAAGCCAAGGAATATAATTAATGACTGGCTTTCTTTTTTATTTTTTATAGTAAATAGTACATGTCTGACCTTTTTTCTGAAATTCATACCACCCATAAATGATCATTTGTTGGGTGTCTATCACTAAAGTTTAGTTTCATAAGCCACTTTACTGAGGTAAGATTGACATTTAAAAATTATGTGTATTTAATGTACACAACATGATGAGTTTGGAGATACATATAAACCTGTGAAACCATTTCCACTATTAAATCTATAAACATACCTGTCATCTCTCAAAATTTCCTCCTGCCCCCTTTATTATTTATTTATTTTTATTTAGTTTTTGTGGTAAGAAAACTTTACAATCTATCTTCTTAGCAAATATTAAAATACAGTATTGTTAGCTACAGGCACGATGTTGTATAGTGAGACTCTAAGACTTACTTATCTTGCATAGCTGACATTTTGTACACTTTGAGCATCACCTCCCCATTTCTTCTACCCCAGCTACTGGTAATTCTACTCTCTGCTTCTATAAGTTTGACTATTTTAATTTCTACACATAAGTGAGATCATACAGTATTTGTCTTTTAATGTCTTCGTATATGGAGTCTGGTAGGATTGGGTTCCAACTCTATAGGCCTCATTTAACTTCGTCACCCTGTGAGGGTCTTATCTCCAAATACAATCACAGGGATTTGGGCACGCTCATATGACTTCATTTAACCTTAGTTACCTCTTTAAAGGCCCCATCCCCACATACAGTTATATTCTGAAGTATTCATTTATGGGGTTTCAACTATAATTTGGGATGGGCCCACAAGTCATAAACACCATCTTTTAAAGCCCATAAACACCATCTTTTTAATACTTTCTATGTTAATAAATTCAGCTTTGTATTTCTGTCTTTAAACCCCACTCAGCAAAACATAAACCTCTGCAGTTAACCAAATGTACCATCTTAATTAAGTTATAAGAATCTATACATAGTTAATCCAAGGCAAAGTTAAACATACAAAAAACCTGGTGTAGAGTCCACACATAGTTTTCTCTTTTTCTTTTTCTTTTTTTTTTTTGAGATAGAGTCTTGCTGTGTCGCCCGTGCTGTAGTGCAATGGTGTGATCTCGGTTTACTGCAAACTCCACCTCCTGGGATCAAATGATTCCCCTGCCTCAGCCTCCCAAGTAGCTGGGATTACAGGCACATGACAGACACCACACCCAGCTAATTTTTGTATGTTTAGTAGAGACAGGGTTTCACCGTGTTGGCCAGGTTAGTCTTGAATGCCTAAATTCATGATCCACCTGCCTCGGCTTCCCAAAGTGCTGGGATTACAGGCATGAGCAGCCACATAGCTTTCTAAGCATGCCCTTTGTATGATCCCAGCCCTAACTCCAAAGGATTTATCAATGATACGCATCCATCTTCCTAAGGGGAATACTACTGCCAAGATTTCTGCTTATTGTTTTAAACGTCTCTGGAAAAAAATATCCACTGTAATTGTGAAGTCTAATACAAGTTTTCCCTGTAAGGTATACATACAGAATATATATAGTGTTATATGGGCCCCTTCAAATAAATGCTTCAAGTTCCCCTGTCCCCAATATCTTTCTCCTTTTCTTTCTACCCCATATTAACTGCTAAGTGCTTTTCATTCTATATTTATATTGTCTATAAAATTCAGCACCCTTTTAAAATCACTACTGGTTCGCCTTATGATTCACCTGGACTACTAAAATTACATCCTCTGATTTTTGATCTCTGCCTTCCAATGTTTTAACCAACAAATTATGGTCTATATTGTTATTAAAATGTATTTCCTTTAGAAACTAAATATTGTCACTTTTCTGCACAAAGCCTGTTCTTTATGATAGTTTTTTTAAAAAAGCAATCACACTTTCCGTGACATTGAAACCCTTCCAATTTATCTCAATTTATTTTTTAGCTAATTCTTAATTTAGCCATAATGTTGCACCATTGAAACTTTAAAAGAAAAAATTTCCCAGCCTTATTAAGGCATAACTGACAAAACCTATATATATTTACTGATTGCAACATATTTTGATATATGTATACATTATTAAATAATTAAGCCAAAAGAATTAACATATCCACCACTTCATATATAATTACATTTTTTAAATTTAAATTTTATTTTTAATTGACAAATAATTTTATTTTGGGGTACAATGTGATATTTCAATACACACATGCATCATGGAATGATCAAATCAAGGTAATTAGTATATCTATCACCTCAAATATTAATTTGTGGTTAGAACATTTTAAATGTTCTCATTTAGCTATGTTGACATATACCATAATTATTAACTATAATCACCAAGCTGTGCGGCATCTCACCAGATTTATTTATTTTTTCTATCTGACAGAAACTTTGTGTCCTTTGACCAACATCTTTTTTTTTCCCCTGTCTACCCTCTTTCCTGCCACCACTCCAGCTCTTGGTAAGTACCATTCTACTCTTTACTTCCCTGAGTTTGACTTTGTAAATATCGCATGTAAGTGACATCATATTCCATTTGTCTCCTTGTGACTGACTTACTTCACTTAGCATAATGTCTTCTAGATGCCTCTATATTGTTGCATATGACAGCACTTCCTGCATTTTTGAAGGCTGAAAAGTATTCCATTATGTATACATACCACATTTTTTCTATCCATTCAGCCCCTGATGTGCACTTGGGTTGTCTCTATATATTGGCTCTTGTGAATAATGCAGAAACATTCATATAATGGGAATGGAGACACTGCTTTGTCATACTTGTTTCAATTTCTTAAGATACAGACCCAGAAGTGGGATTGCTGGATCATGTGTTAATTCTACTTTTAGTTTTTGTGAGGAATCTCCGTAGTGTTTCCAAAATGACTGTACTAATTTACAGTGCCACCAACAATGTACAAAGGCTACGTTTCCTCCACATTCTTGCCAACATATGTTATCTTATCTTTTTGATAATAGCCATTCTAACAAGTGTGAAGTGACATCTCATTATGGCTTTTATTTGCATTTTTCTGATAATTAGAGATGTCCAACATTTCTTCATGTGTCAGTTGGCCATTTGTATGTCTTTTTTAAAGAAAAGTCTATTCAGTTCCTTTGCCAATTTTTAATACGTTTATTTTCATATTATTGAAAATAAATGTTTGAGTTCCTTGTATATTTTTTATGTTAGACCCTTGTCAAACATGATTTGCAAATGTTTTCTCCAATTCTGTGGGTTTTTTAATTCTGTGAATTGTTTCCTTTGCTACTTTTAGTTTGATGTAATCTCATTTGTCTATTTTTGCTTTTGTTATCTGTGTTTTGGGGATCATATCCAAGAAATCACTGCTAAGACTAATGTCATGGAGCATGCTTCCTGTGTTTTCTTCTAGTAGTTTTATAGTTTCAGGTCTTATGTTTAAGTCTTTGATACATTTTGAGTTAATTCGTGTATAATGGGTGAAATAAGGGTCCATTTTTATTCTTCTGCATATGAATATCTAGTTTTCCCTCCCTGATTGTTGAAGAGACTGTCCTTTCCCCATTGTGTATCTTGGCACCTTTCTGTCAAAAAATCAGTTGTCTGTAAATGTTTGAATTTCTGAACTCTCTATTGTGTTCCACCAGTCTGTATGTCTGTGTTTATGCCAGTACCATACTGTTTTGATTACTATAGCTTTGTAGTATATTTTGAAGTCATGTAATGTGATGCCTCCAGCGTTGCTCTTTTTGCTTAAGATGATTTTGGCTATTTGGGGTCTTTTGTGGTTCTCATCATTTGAATTTGACTCTATTTTTAATAACATGCCTTCTTTCCCTTATTTCCTACACATTCTGTGTTTCCTCTCTTCTGTGCCTTTGCTTAAGCCAGTTGTTCTCAAAGTATGGTATAGAGACCACTTAAGTTCCTGAGATACTCTGCAAGGTTTTCAAGACTAAAACTATGTACACAGTAACATTTAGATGCTACTTACCTTCTAAAGTCTTATTCTCATATCACTTTATAAAGTGGAGTTTTCCAGAGACTGTAAGATGTGTAATATTGCAACACATTGAATGCATAAGATACAAAAACCCAGCCACCTTATTTAGACATAAAAGAGATTTGCAAAAAAAAAAAAAAAAGTAAATGAGGACACTTTTTTCACTAAATGCTTTTGTTTTGTAAACTAATTTTTTTTAATAAAAATATGTTGTCTATGTTGACATGCATGGGCTTATTTTATTTTAAATTAAATTAGTAAATAAGTATTTTTTAAATGTCAGTTTTAATTCATAATATGGAAACATCAATGGGTATAGTGCACATTTTAACAAATCCTTTCTGATGTTAGGTAATTTTCTGAGTCTCAAGGGATCTAAGACCTAAAAGTGTTAGTACTACTGACTTAATTTGTTCCTTTTCATTAAAATATATTTTCTTATGTGATACATTTACACAATGGAATACTATGCAGTGATAAAAAGGAATCAGGTCATGTCTTTGCAGGGACAGGGATGGAGCTGGAAGCCATTATTCTCAGCAAACTAACACGGGAACAGAAAACCAAACACTGCATGTTCTCATGTAAGTGGGAGCCGAACAAAGAGAACACATGAACACAAGGAGAGGAACAACACACACTGAGGCCCATTGTGGAGGGCAGGGAGAGGGACAGCATCAGGATAAACAGCTAATGCATTTGGAGCTTAATGCCCAGATGATGGGTTGATAGGCGCAGCAAACCACCATGACACATGTTTACTTATGTAACAAACCTGCACATCCTACATATGTATCCCAGAACTTAAAATAAAATTGAAAAAAAAACCCACATTAATTTATTGACGTCGCATTATTATATATCAAATATATAAATTTTAAATATGAAAAATATATATTTTCTATTTTCTCCTTGATGCTAGAATTCTATATGTCCTTTAAGAATCAAGTGGTGTATTACTCCTATAAAAATCTTAGATCCTACTTCAGCACTGTGAAATCATGCTCTCACAGTCTGCCATGCATTTACATTGTTATTCAATTTTACTTTGCATATAGAGTAATTTCAAAATTGTTAACCCACATCCCCATGGGAAATGATTTTATGAATTAGAATACAAAGTGTATGTACAGTTCCTTTTGCCTTTAGTATTTCAGATTTCACTCATTTTCAAACCTACTCAGGTCAGCACCTTTAATCCCTACTCCTATCCTTGAGTTTGCTTTATATAGTTGTAACAGTTAGATGCTTTTTTCACAGTCTGCATTTCAATCCTTTTAAATAATTTATTAAGTCATATACATCTAAATTTAATTTTTGTTCTGTAAAGTTTTATGGGTTTTGAAATATGCATAGTGTCATGTATTTACTATTAAAAGTACCATGCAGAATAGTTTCACTTACACTAAAATCCTTGTGCTTCTACTATTCAACACCCCACACATACTTTAAACTCTTGGCAAGCTCTGATCTATCATCACTGCAATCTTGCCTTTTTCAGAATGTCTTATAAATGGATCAGTAGGTAGATTTTCAGACCAGCCTTTTTTCAATTAACAATATACATTTAAGATTCTTACATGTGCTTGCATGGCTTGATAGCTCATTCCTTTTTATTGATGAGTAGTATTTCACTGTGTGGCACAGTTTTTTTATTCATTCACATATCAAAGGACATCTTAGTTGCTTCCTATTTTTGGTGATTATAAATAAAGTTACTCTAAATATTTCTATGTAGGCTTTTGTGTAGACACAAATTTTAAAATTAGTTGGGCGCATACCTAGGAACAGGATTGCTGGGTGGTGGTAAGACTATGTTTAGTTTTGTAAGAAACAGCCAAACTCTTCCAGTGTCTTCACCAGTTGCATTCCTACCAGCAATGAATGAGAGTTCCTGTTGCTCCATATCCTTACCAGCATTTACTTCAGTTATTTTAAAAATATTTTGTCCATTCTAGTTGGTGTGTAGTAGTATCTCCATACATTTAAAAATAGGCTTATTTTATATTTATAGAAGAGTCATGGTGCTAATGCTTTAAAAATTGTTTGACAATTTTACTTCTAGTATCTCTTTTGTCTAAAACCCCAATTTTAATTAGCAATACAGGATTTAGTCACAATATGCAATTATATGAAATTCTGTAATGAATATGACTTTATTTCTGCATATGTATATTGATATGAAGCTGCTATTAATCATATTCAGTTAATTCAAGCTAGTAGGCATATGGATTTAATATGAACAAGGTAAGTTGATTTTATTCTTCTCTGATATTCATCAGTTGGAATGGAAGCACTGAATATGAACTCACTAACTTATAAATATTGGTTTATTTTCCTCCAAGTGCATGTTCTATAAAATTATTGATGTTAATGTGCAAAGTTGCTACTGAATCTGAGACAACTAGCAGCTATAGAATAAGTAGAAAACAGTGATATGTGATTTGTGCTGCAATAAGGTCACTTATTTTGACATTCACTTCATTCAGTTATTTCATATTTATATAACTTGATAACATACTGTTAGGGGCTTACGGGTTATTGAAGTTCGTATAATTTAATTTATGGTGAGAAACATCAAAAATATTTTAAGTTCAAAAGGAAAACACTTTAGGCTGATTGTGAAATTAGAATTAGTAAGGTTTTAAATAAAGAGTGATTGTAGTTCAAATTTTTTTTTTGAGGGTGGGGGAGGTAAAAGGATAAACCCATATGAGATTTGGGGGAAGCTTTTTTTTTTAATTAATATTTCACTATTGTCATGTGAATTTCAGTACTAAGATATCAATAAAGTATTTCTACAATTCTGCTCACCAGAAGAATCTGAGATTTAAGAATATATGCACAAACACAGATTGCATTTCTTATAAAAATGTTTCTAAAAATGTTATCAATTCTTTAGAAATTTGTCCAATCTAATGGTGTGAAAGAGATGATAGGATGATTATATGAGAGAATCACTCAGTATGGGGGCAAAAAGGCCAACATATCCCAGGACTACCAGCAAAGGCTAGCTGTATTTTTCTTGCCTCCAAGTTGCAGCAAGAAAAGTCTCTTTAAAATTGCTATGAAAATGTGACAAACAATGCACATAAAAATAAAATTAAGAATTTATCTTATAAATATCGATTAAAAAGATAAAACTAAAATATTAGCAAGTAGAATTTAGTAACTCATTAAAAAACGAATATATCCTGGCTAAATGGATGTAATGCCTTGAAGTTCTGAGCACCCCCTTCTTGTTTGGTGAGTTGATCCCATGCACATAGACTAACAACCTTTGTTGCTGTAAAGCTGTTGAGCATTATATTTTATACACCTTAATAACTAAGTGATAGTTATACCTCCTGATTTATACATTCTACATCACATATCTGGCTAGAAAGCAAATAGGAGAAAGAATAGTGCGATGTACAAAATTTGGGCTTCGTTGTCATAGAGATAAGCATTTGAATCATGCTGTGCTGCTTATGTTCTT